GCTAGCTTTAGTTACCTGAGTAGCCATTGCCTGCCCATCTCTGTGTCAGAAATAACATCCTGTAACTAACATGTTAAGATCTTTTGAAACCTATTAATTGAGTGGACCCCTGGCTTCCATTAACCTCAAAGGCAAAATTCCATCAAATAGCACCTGAGGCCTATGTAAAATCTTGCCCCATCTTGGTATACCTACTTCTGTGATGTATAGATCCGCATGTTTTAAACATGTAATCTATGACTTTCTTTGTTCTGTAAGATTATAAGCTTTATGAAACTGTTTTCACCTTGGAACATGGAATTTTGGGTAACAGAAACCTGGGTTCCTGGGCAATGAGCACTCAAATTTGGCTGTAGAATAAACTATCTCTTATTACCTTAAAAGAAAAAATGTTCATAACATCTAAGAGGAAAGGGTTATTTTTAAGTAATAGAGAGAAGCTGTAGAGAATATTATTAGGTGTTGGCTTCAAGCACATTTAGGACACACATTCTGGAGGATCCGTAAGAACAAATACACAGAGATTATTAACTTTCCACAAAAATATGGAATTCTCATCATCTAGTTAATTTGTCTTCCTATTATAACGCAGTTGTGTTTCAGGGGGTGTGAATATTTAAATACTGATAAAATGATACCTATTTTGAATAAAGTAAGGAAGGATGTTAATTATTTGGTGAAAGTAAGAAATACAGAGAACAAAGAAGTTTCTGATAAATGCATTATTGGTAAGAATGTACTTGTACAAATTTCTACTTAGTAAATGAAGTTTAAATCCAGAATAATACAAAATACCCAAGTCCCCCATCTTCAGAAAATATGGGAAGCAACTAAAGATCATTTTATTCATTTTTCGAAAAAGGGTTGTGAGTTAGAGGTATACCTGGCCACAGGCAGACACATGCAAAACCAGATTTACACATATGATAAATTATTTTAAAGGTTCTCTGAACACCAAAGGCATCATCCATCAACATGAAGCTGCTTCCACAAATGTGCGCACATTTCCTGAAAGGATTTATAATCCAGCCAATACGGTACATTCTGAATGTGTTACAGAAAGGACAGATTTACAGGAGACAATCTGCCTTCATGATGATTGCATATTGTGGCATTTCTAGTCCATATGGATCAGTAAGACTTGGATAGCAGGCATTTGACCTTCAAAATCATGCAAATGTGAAACCAGGCTTCTTCCCTTACAGCTGGGAGCGTCAGGAAGACTTTCTTAGCGTATTCTGGAGAAAGTGATTGAAACACACTTTGACCGTGGAATGGTCCAGAGATTTGATTACTTCGAGACCCCTCCTTGTAGAGAAGGATCTAGTCTTTGGTCCTCTTGCTCACAGCCCTTCTGGCTAACCTTTACTCATTAGCACCCCAAACTCAACTCCTGATCATTTCTAAGAGAACTTGCTAACTCAAGGCCACAGGCTATCTCTGAACAAGACACAAAACCTTTTTGTTCATGTCATAGTCAATCTCCAGAAATAATTTCTGATGGCCTTTGAAAAGGTCTGTGAATGGCTTTCTGTCCCAGGCCTCAGGAAACTGTTTTCGCACTTCAAAGACTTGATGGTGCCAGATATCATCAGACTGTTTATCTAGCAATGTTAATTTTCTGGGTTTACAGTGTAACAATTCGCCAAGATTATTGGAACAGAATCCCAAGGAGTTATATTTGTTAATCGGCCAATTTTTTTCTTCGTTTAAAAATTCAGTGCAAAATGGTATCGCTTTTCTAGAATGCTGACGAGACGGGGATTGAATAAATGAATTTTTTTCCAAAGCAAGGGAGATTTTTAAAACATACTAAGATTGAGAGAAATGATTTTAACAGTCTCCCTATTTATGATTTAGAGCTTTGAGAACTCTGTAATGAGAGGCGGACTGAAGGAAGTCACAGGCCAGTGACCACATCCTGTCAAGCTGAAGACAGCAAGCAAGCCCAATCATAAAAAGATGTCTGGGCGGACTCTGTTTCCATAGAGACAGTGTGGCGGGAGTTTTCCTTTCATCATGGTACCTGCGGCATCCTCCTGAAAAAGTAAGATATTAATTAATTAACTAAATTTACATTCCAGTCACAGTTTCTACTTTCTTCTTTCCTCCTAATCAGTCCCTCCCACTCCCTAATCCACTCCTCATATGTTTTTGTTCAGGAAGGGGCAGGCCTACCATGAATATCAAAAAACAAAAACAAAAACAAAAACATGGCATATAAAGTTGTTGGAAGATTAAGTACCTCCCTATGTATCATTGGACAAGGTGACCCACTATGAGAAGTAGTGTACCAAAAGCTAGTGAAAGAGTCAGAGACAGCCCTTGCTCCCTCTGTTTGGAGTACCACAATAAGAGCAAGCTACACAACTGTCACATATAGGCAGAGTGCCTAGGTCAGTCCCATGCAGACTCCCTGATTGTCGGTTCAGCCTCTGGAGAACCCCCATGAGTCCAGGTTAGTACCACGAATAATAAAAACTCAAAGACAGACAGTGGGGCTCAAGCTTAAGATAAGAAAGGCATTGGATGCTCACCTTACTAGACCTGGATGGAGGTGGGAGGTCCTTGGACTTCCCACAGGGCAGGGAACCCTGATTGCTCTTTGGGCTTACGAGGGAGGGGGACTTGATTGGGGGAGGGGGAGGGAAATGGGAGGCAGTGGCAGGGAAGAGACAGAAATCTTAAATAAATAAATAAATACGATCAGAAAGGCAAAGCAGCCAACCACTAGAGAACTTTTTACTTCTTTTTACTGAAGACAGACTGAAAGGGCTGGATCCTATCTCCACAAATCCTCAGATTGAACACCAAGATTGCCCTGAACTGCACTACCTTATATTCTTCTCTAGAACTGGGATTAAAGGCATGTCATTCCAAGTGCTAGGGTCAAAGTGTGAGCTCCTTTTCTCTTTTAGACTGATTTACTCCTATAGCCCAGAGTGGCCTTGCGTCCTAGGATTAAAGGTGTGTGCCAACACTGCCTGGCCTGTATGGCCAACTAGTATGGCTGCTTTACACTCTGATCTTCAGGCAAGTTTTATTTATTAAAACACAAATAAAATATCACAATAATACTGTGGGTTTCCTTGTGGTTTTCATGACCCCTCTTGCTCCCACAATCTTTTCTCCCCTCTTCGAAAGTGTTCCTTGAACTCTGCCTAAGGTTTGACTCCGTGTCTGCATCTGTTTGTAAGGTAATATTCTTAAAGAGCCATAAAAGAGAGGGTAACAGACTTATTCCTATAGAAGTTTCCCTATTAAAAAAAATTAAGTCAATTTTATTGTGTATTCTAAAGTGCTTTTGACTAGTTCACTTGCACATTTCATAGC